GGTTGGTTTTGTTTCTAGAGGGGTTTTATCTGTTAACTAAACGAATTTCTGGTTCCCATTATGTGACAGCTAATAAAGGTTTAGGAGAAATTGCTTCTATGTATGATATGTTGAATAATTGGGAACAAAGTGAGGACTTGAATTTTCAAGCCATGGCCATTGCAATGAAAAAAAAGTTTGATAAGTATTGGGGGGATGTGGATAAGATGAATAAGTTCATTTATGTTGCTCTTCTTCTCGACCCTCACTCTAAGATGGTCATTGTTGAATTGACACTAACGGATATGCATGGACCGGAAAAGGGTACAAAACTTGCTAATGATGTGAAGGAGTTCGCTTACTCTTTATTTGAGGAATATAGAAAAATGTATGCTACTTCTAATATTCCAGATTGTGGAGATAATATGTCAATGGATATTGATAATAGTAAAGGAGTGGGTTCCGATTATGTGAGGAAACTAAAAGAAAGAGCAAAACGATTGAAGGGGACAAGTGGGTATGCGATAAGTGAGTTGGATAGGTACTTAAATGATCAATTAGGGCCGGAGGAGGAAGAACAAGATGCATTGACATGGTGGGGTAAGAATGGTCAGCGTTATGTGATTCTTAATCGCATGGCACGTGACATACTAGCCATCCCATTGTCGACCGTTGCATCGGAATCTGCTTTTAGTACGGGAGGTCGTACTCTAGATCCATTTCGGAGGTAATGCATCGTTATCTTTTTATTTTATAAAATCAAGTTTGTTTATATCTTAATATGACTTTGTTTATACATATTTGTGTAATATTTTTGTATTGAAGATGGTTCAAGCGTTACTTTGCACACAAGATTGGCTTAGAGCTAAGGAAGTGCCAATTGTTGATGTGGAAGAAAATTTGAAAGAGTTAGAGGAAATAGAGAAAGGTAGTAATAATTTTATGTATTTGAAATTTTGTTACACCAAATTTATTATTTCACTGTTATCAATCATTAATATATTCTATATTGTATTTTATTTAGAGGTGCAACGTGGTGAATCTAACGATGTAGACGATGAAGTTGTTTTCGTGGACTCATTAGTGTGAATCACGCGATTAAAGGGAAAACAACTCGTTGGAGAATTTATGTATTCCTAGTACTTGAGAGTTGAGACTTAAGAGAATTTATGTAATTTTATGAGTTTTCGTGGACTTATTTGTATTTTCGGTGGACTCATTTGTATTTTTGGTGTTTGAGAATCGGGACTTTATAGACTTTATGTAGTTTTGTAATTGATAATTTTGGTTTGTATGTAATTATTAAATTATGCAACAGGTCTAAAAATCACAAAACAGGTCCATATGCAGGTCCAACAGGTTTTGTATTAAAAAAAAACGAAAAAGACACAAAACAGGTCCATTCAGGTCCAAACCCGGACCAGACCTGATTTTTCAGGTCTGGCCCGGAACCGGACCTGTTAATTCAGGTCCGGTCCCCGGTCCTCATAATTACCCAATTCAGGTCCACGGTCCAAATAGGTCCGGTCCAGGTCCGGTCCGGTTTTGGACCGGTGTACACCCCTAATTACAAGTACAAATTCCCTTTAATCATGCATAAAAGTTGTGATCAAGAAATAACAATATATATAATCAAGCAACATAAAAATAATAATCATAATCATCATAACAATTATAATCATAATATTCATGTTAATGCATAATAATAATAGCAAGATCCTAGGCATGATACTAACAATATTAATAACAAACCCTAGCATGTCACTAAACAATAAAAATCAAAGTTTAGCCCTAACATGATACTAACAATCATAAATATTAGGAAGAACATAAAAGGCATCATACTTATAATCATACTTGATATTAAAGTTACCCTAGACATGATACTAGGAAGATCAAAACGCCCTAACATAACACTAGGAATCATAATAACAACCTAAGCATGATTTCTACATCATAATAACAATAAAAACCATTAAAGCACTTACTTGGATGCCTCGTACCTCTTTCTAATAACAAAATACACACGTTAGTAACTTCAAGGAAAATAATAAAACCAAAGAATTAAATTAAATAATTAAAATAGAGATTTGGGACCAAACCCTCAGAAATTAAAACCTTTCACGTCTAGGGCAAAGGCAAATTCGAATTATGCTAGGTGTTTCTAGGTCTTGTGAATGCGGAATTTTGTATGAAGGGGTTGGTTTAGAAAAGAGAGAGAGAATAAGCTTCTAGCTTTGAGAGAGAAGAGAATTAGAGAGTATAAGAATTGATGAGAATTGGTTATTGAAAACGGAGTTTCTAGGAGGCTATTTATAGAGAAAATCAGCCAAAAAGATTGAAAATCGAACCAGAGTTCTGACGTGAAAAAACGGAGTTAGCGCCAGACGCTGACATTAGTGCCAGACGCTAATGCTAGCGCCATGCGCTAATGCTGGCGTTAGGCCTAATCAAGTTTTTGACGCATTTTCTAAAATCAGATAAAATTTAACCGTACAGGAGGATAAAATCGTATTTTCCTCAAAAACATTGTTTTATTAAAACTCTAAAAAGCCAACAAAAGTCAATTTATTAATGCTAATTGAATTAGGAATGAAAAGAACCTTCTAGAAGAATCTAGAAGACTAAAACCATTCCTAATTGCATTAGGAATGATAAATCCATATTAGGCCCTCCTTTAGATCATTGGGTCGCATATAAGGTTCAAACCGGGCCCAGTTTAGTAATTCGGCCATAACTTCCTCATTATTCATCGGAATTGGGCTTATAATATATCGTTGGAAAGCTCTTTTCAAGACCCATCCAACTAATCTACTATTGGAACCATATCATGGACCAACCAAACTGGATTGGCTGTTTTCTTAAAATAGGTTTTCAAAAAACAGAGAGAAGAGAAAAGAAATTAAAACTATCCGCAACACTAGACTTTCCACACTTTCACTTTATTCAATTATGATTCGACGTGAAAGGTACTCATCACTGGGTTTGGTTTTGGGGAGACACAAATGGGTGTCTACAACTTGGCATTAGTTATCATTAGTTTCCTGTACGGGTGGGCTCATCTTTTTGCCTGTAAGTAGTTGCACTATTCTCAATCCTTTCATACAACCTAGCTAGCCTGCATGGCTGCATACTTAACTACTATCTCTGTTAATTTTTATGAGCAAATTTGGAATATTTTATATCTCACAAATAATACACCAAAGTTGCACATAAAAATTAAACAGAGGTAGTACCTAATTTGCATGTATTGCTAAATCAGATTGGCCCATCAGCAAGTAGCATGCATACGGACAGAATGCTAGAAGCTGAGCTAAACTTCTCATCACAATCGAGCTAATTGGATATCTGTTATGTAGATTGTGCTTTCATTTTAGCAAGAGCACCTTCACTAGTAGTTGCTCGTACTTTTCTAACAAATCTCTTAGCATAGCCACTGCGAACCACTATCTACTCCGTCATTAAATGAAAACTTACCTAACTAATATGCTCTACTTTGCACAATGTGGATCTTGTTATGATGGTGAGAACTATCATATTTGTAAATAATTTGCTTGTACTTAAAGCAATATGGACTTGTATGTATAACTCATTAAGTCTCATTTATGGCATGGTAAACTAATCGCGGTTATAGATATCTAACAATGTAGAGATCCATCATTATTTATTTAGTTTCAAATTAGTATTTAAGAGAATATAAGTCTAAACTTTAGACATAATAAAAATCAAGGAGTTTAAATATATAATTGATATTTTGTCGTACACCTATCAAAAATAAATTCCTAACAAAATCAACTAACAATGTTGTAGAGTAAGTAGGGTCGAATCTACAGGGAGATGACTATTCAATCTAACTTCTAAGGAATTGGATGAACTAAAATAAGTAACGAAATTCGGGATAGAATGGTAGTCTAAATTAAAATAAGAACAAAAAAAATTAATAAAAAGTCCTAGGATTTTGTTTCACCGTGCTTACAGTTCTAAATCTATCAAATATCAATAACAATTCAATCAATCAATTATCTAGAGCATTGCTAAGCCTGCGATCAGGTCTTAAAGCTCTCAATACAATATATGTAGTTTGGCCACAAGCATAATCAGAATCGCTAATTGTAGGTAAGCCTCTAAAAGTAAGATTTTTCGATTCAAACTCTTATTAACAATAATAAATCAAACAATTATTCGGGTTTCAAGATTAACAATAAAAACACTATCAACTAGAGAAATCAATTGTAAAAATATTAATAATATCAATCAAGATTTATAATACAAACATGGATTCCCAAACCCTAGAAATAAACTACTCTAGCATGAAATAAATAATTAAAACTAGATCTAAGGAATAAAACATAATTAAAAACAAGATATAGAAATAAAAATACCTCAATGAATTAAAATAATAAGCCCAAGAATCATTCATGGAATAATCCGTGGAGATGCCATAAGAAACTAGCTAGGGTTCAAGAGAAAACTAGAACGAACGTAAAATAATAAAAGGCATAAGGGAAAAATAATAATCCCTTAGAATATTTATATTATCCTAAACCTAAATAAAATAGGAAAATAAAAGTAATAATATAAGTTTAATGATTAGTCGAATTTAAAAGTCATAATCCACATAAGATTCCACGTCAAATGCGCACACACCCCACCCATCGGGCGATAGGTGGCTGATAGGTTGTCGTCACCTGTCAAAAATAAATTCCTAACAAAACTAACTAACAATGTAGTAGGGAAAGTAGGGTTGAATCCATAGAGTGGTTGCTATTTAATATAACCTCTAAGAAATTAGAGAAACTAACTATATCACAATAGAAAGATAGTCTAAACTAAAATAGGAATAAAACAATAATCTATAACTATTAAAAGTGAGAAGTTGGCAAGTTGAAAACTCCTTAGTAATAGTGTGATGACAATTTTGCCCCTCAAAAAGTACAATTACGATTTTGCCCTTATTTTTGCTGCTGGTGATCTGTTGGCTCTCGTTCTTCTCTCAGCCAAAATGCTTAGGTGGTGTTTTGTTGGCTCTTGATTACTTTCTGCTTGCTGGTGATCACTTTATCCAGGGTTATTCAATCTTTGACCTAGGGTTATCATCTAAATTCGATCCCCAATTTCTCTCTCCTCAAGTCCTCAGTCTCTACCTCAGATTTCAATCTCTCTCCTTAGTCTTTACCTCAGATTTCTCTCCTCAAGGTGAGTTCTTTGATTTTCTCTTAATTAACAAATTGTATTTCTTGTAAAATTTTGATCTTTTTCAATAATTTTCGCTTTTGATTTTCTGCTTGATTTTGCTTTTGTTAAATTCGTTTTCTTCCAATTTTCATTGTCGATTTTCATGTTTGAATATTGATTTCCCTGAATTGTAGCTACGTGACTTTCTTATCTTTTTTCTCCATTGAAGAAGCTTCCGAGCCTTTTTGTTCCTCCATTAAAGCGAATTCTGAGCTTTCCATTTACTGAAGCAGCTTACAAGTAATGTGTTTTTCAATCATCAATTTTCCATTTTAAAATCGGATTTACTTTTTGTGAATTATTATCAGATTTACTTCGATCTAATTTTGAGAAAAAAATGGAAACCAATTTTATTAATTTTTATGGGTTGAATATTTTAGGGTTCAATCTGATCGAAAATTAATGTCGGGATCTCTTTATCGATTTGCTCGCTTTCATTCTGGGTATGTAAAATTTTGATGATTTAATTTCCAGTGTTCTAGGTCGAATTGTCGCTCATGGATTTCTAGGTTTTTGGGCCAACTCAATGATTCCAAGCCTGGGATGTACAGTCGAGCAATCTTTAAGGGAATTTGAAAGACAGAACAAACCTCTTTTTCTACAATTGAAAGAGGTAAGTTTTCTTTTATTTTTGATTTCGCATTGTTAGTATTTTTAACTTTAAGTTTTCTTTATAATTCTTACAGTTTGAGGTTTTCTGGTTTTTTATGCTGTTGAAATCTTTTTCAATTTTTTTTTTTTTAATTTTTGGTTTAGGTTTGATTCCTTCCACTGTGATCAGAGAGGGATTATCTTGAAATTTCTTCAGATTCTTACAATTTGAAGATTTTAAAGGTTATTTTCACCCTTTAATTGCTTTTGCATTTAAGAAATGTTTTTGTTATATTGTTGGTAATTTTGCAGGTTTAGATTTTTTTTGGTGGGAGATCTATTGTTAGCGCCTATTGATCATTACTCAGCGGCTCATGCTGGCCCTTGAAAGTCGAGGTCAGAAATTTCTATTTTTATCGTATATTCTTATATATTATTAAAATTAGTAATTGTGTGTTTATTACTTTTCAATTTCTTTGTAATTATATGATTTGAATTCTGGACTTTGTAATGCTAAAGGTTAAACTGGCAAATACTTGTTGGTTTGCTGTAAATGTATCATGTATGCTTTCAGGGCCTTTCGCCTTATGGCGAAGATACTAAGCTATGATTCTGGTGCTGTGTAGGTGCATGCGGTGGGATTAAATCATGAGTAAGGGTAATACGAGGCTTTCATGTAGCAATGGGATGCGGTTCAGGGATATTTCTATAGCTAATTCAAAAGGTGAATGCTGATGCAAAGAATGGGTATGAGATAATTCTCCATGACTAGAAAAGAAAGAGCGTGAATTATATCATACAAATACATACCCTATTTGCTTTACCAAATTATTTGCTAGGTTTAGCCACTGAATTTGATCATACACCTTAATTTTGCTATTCTTTGTAGAATTTCATGGCAAAAGAGGAGATTGAGAAGAAGATGGAGCTTTGTGAGCGAGTTCAAGCTCAACTCGGTCGAGTCAAGGAGGAGACTATAAATCATAATAGATAGTGTAAGGTGAAGTAAAACTCTTCCATAGATTAAAGTATTAGGCATATGTACTACTGTAGACGTTGTAGATTTTTAGTTTGTTAGGTTACGTGCCTTTGTAAATCGGAGAATTGCATTGAGCCTTAAGGTGACAACCTAATCTCTGCATGATAAGGTGATATTTTCATTGAGCACTTCCTTTCACATGCATAGTCTAGGATGTTTAAGAGGCCCATCATACATGTTTTGCTTTTGGTTTGCAGCTTATTAGGAGCAGTTTGGCCTAATTCATGTGATAGAAACTCGGAATAAGCATGCGAGCAAATTTGATTTTGTGATTTTTGAGTGTTGCTTGGATCTGATTTTTGATTTTGTTATTTTATGAAATGTAGGATGTTGGAGGAAAATCTAAACATGATATTTGGAGGTATAGAGGTTCTGAAGTTTCCTATGGTTGTAGCAATGGCAGCAGTAAATTCATGAGTATGTGTTCTTTTTCCTAGCTTGTTATTTCAATTCTTTTTGTTTCATGCTGATAAATTCAGTTTCTATTATTTGCAGTGTGAAGTACTTTCCTCCCGTTTCTCTGTTTTCTTTCTGAAATAGTCGGAAGGAGGAGGATGGAGCAAGGTTTGCTCGTTTCGAGTTCGAGGTGGATAAACTCAAGTATTATTTGATGTTCGACCTATTTTTTGTGCATAACACTCTGTGGAAAGATAGAGATTTGGAGTGCTTGGTTTTTTGCACCTCGTTGGAGAGTACAAAAGATACAATGTTGCTGTTGTGTGAAAATTGACTCAGCAGACCAGTTGTGGGGAATAATTTCAAGCGTTAACCCCCTAGCTTGAACACCACTGTGATCATACACTAAAGTACGGTGGCGTTCAAAAGGGAAGAAGATAGAGCAAAAGAGTCGCCAACAAGTTTTAGGAACTTGTAAACCGTTCACAGGGTGAAGTTTACACCCCTTAACGATCCAAGAGATCGTCAACTCCATAAGATCTTGAACCATATAGGGTTCGGGGATGAAGGTACAAATCCAATCTAAAAGAGATTGAACCTGCCCTAATAATAGACATCTACTTTATTCTGATCGTATTCTTGTGCGCTTTCTGACTAACATGCAATCAATAAGATTACCCCTAAACCTGTTTATCTATGTTAGTTGAATATTAATGCACAAACAAATCTATTATTGGTGATCACTTGAATTGTAATCATATTAACCCTAAACAAGATTATTAATTATCATATTAAGCGTGATTATAAGTATCAATTCCCTTTAAACATGCATAAAAGGCGTGATCAAGTAATAAATATAAATAAGCATCAAGCAACATAATAATAATCATCATAATAATAATTATAAAAATAATAATCATAATCATAATAAATCATCATAAACAAAATAATCATCATCAAAATAATAATAATAATAATAATAATATTCATAATCATCATAAATTATAATAATTATAATCATAATCATGTTCATGTTGATATTAAAGCATAATAATAGCAAGATCCTAGGCATGATACTAACAAGATTAATAACAAATCCTAACATGTCATTGAGCAATAAAAATCAAATCTTTAACCCTAACATAATACTAACAATCATAATTATTAGGAAGAACATAAAAGGCATCGCACTAATCATACTTGATATTAAAATTACCCTAGACATAATATTAGGAATATCATAATAACAATTTAAACATGATTTTTACATCATAACAACAATAAAAACCATTAAAGTACTTACTTTGATGTCTCGTACCTCTTTCTAATAACAAAATACACACGTTAGTAACTTTAATGAAAATAATAAAATCAAACAATTAAATTAAATAATTGAAAGAGAGATTTGGGACCAAACCCTCAGAAATTAAACCTTTCACGTCTAGGGCAAAGGCAACTTCGAATATGGATAGGTGTTTCTAGATCTAATGAATGCGGAATTTTGTATGTAAAAGCAAGTTTAGAAAAAGATAGAAAGAGAGATGATAGAATGATTAAAGAGAATGAAAGAGAATTGAAAACTGGTTAGGCGAATGAAAACGGAGTTTTTACGACGTTATTTATAGTGAAAATCAGCCAAAAAGATAAAATTAACAAAACAGAGCATTGGCGCACCTAAAACAGAGCTGGCGCCAACGCTAGCTGATTGGCGCCAGGCGCCAACATTAGCACCAGGCTCCAACATTAGCGTCAGGCGCCAATGCTAGCGCCAGGCGCCAATGCTAGCGCCAGGCGCTAATGCCTGGCGCTAGGCGCTAATTCTGTTTTTGACGCGTTTTCTAAAATCAGATAAATTTTGCCGTACAGGAGGATAAAATCGTATCTTTCCCTCAAAAATGTTCTTTGATTTTAATTAAAACTCTGAAAAGTCAACAAAAGTCAATTTATCAATGCTAATTGAATTAGGAATGAAAAGAACCTTCTAGAAGAATCTAAAAGACTGAAACCATTCCTAATTGCATTAGGAATGATAAATCTATATTAGGCCCTCCCCTAGATCATTGGGCCGCATATAAGGCTCAAACCGGGCCCAGTTTGGTAAATTGGCCATAACTTCCTCAATATTCATCGGAATTGGGCTTATAATATATCGTTGGAAAGATCTTGTCAAGTCCCGTCCAACTACACTATTATTGGACCCATATCATGGACCAACAAAACTGGATTGACTGTTTTCTTAAAATAAGTTTTCAAAAACAGAGAGAAGAGAAAAGAAATTAAAACTATCCGCAACACTAGACTTTCCACACTTTCGCTTCATTCGATTATGATTCAACGTGAAAGACACTTGATTAGGGGATTTTGCTCCTCCAATCGGAATGCGCCACGTGGGCCAATCAGGTCCTGCCAAGTGTCCCCAGTTGGAACTGTCAGGGCTTGCCACGTGGCACGCGCTTATTTGTCCACCTTGGACCTGTTATGTCATGACATGTGGCATACTCCATGCCTAATGGAGAAACCGGCCACCCAGGCCCAACTTCCGAGGGAAGCCCAATCGGCCCTAGGTTAACCTAAACCTAGGATGGGCACGTTTCCCAAGGTTATAAATACCTCCCTTAATCCTCATTAAGGGGGATTACGAAAAAAACACATTAATTACACACAGTAATAACCGGCTGATCTCGCTAACAAAGCAGATTACCTACATTAATCACTCTCACCTAGAGAGACCCAATCACTTTAATTTTCGCATTAATTACTCCTTAATCAAGTACTAACTTGACCGTTGGAGGCGGAGCTCCCAGGAGTCTCCGTTATTTTGCAGGTACAGGCGTCCGGTTCCAGTCTCGGAATTGTAACTCTCCCGCAGGACATCAGAAAACCCTGAAACATTTGGCGCCGTCTGTGGGGAGAGTACTTCTGAGATGGCATCCAAGTCTGTACCGACTCCTGAAGAGAGGCGTCCCCTAGACGACTCTCAAGTTCAGTCGGACCATGATACCGAGAGTGAATTTGAAGTTGAAGCTCACACAGCTTCAGACGGGACCCTAAGGGCCCGACGTACCCGTCATACCGAAAGGAGGGAACGGGAACATCTTCAAACTGGAAGTGAGCCAGCAGGCGCACCGCCTGTTCGGCAACAGCCGACTGATGGGTCTGCTCCCATCACAAGAAACGAACTCATGACCTTCATGAGGAACTTCAAGGGAGAGATTCAAGAGTTGATCAACAAGAAGCCGCCTGCTCCAGTCAAGGAGCAGTCGGCTAAGAAACCCTCCACTTCACTGAAGAGGAAGCCAGTTCAAGGGCGAGAGGCGACTCCTCATCCTAAATCTAGGAAGCGGGAGCTACCTGCCCTTGATTTCACAAAATTCCGTTTTCCTACAGGAAATAGGAAACCTGTTCGTCATATTCAGGCGGACGGGTCGAAGCAAACATTCACAGACGCTCGGCTACTGCTAGAGCAGAAGAAGAGTGACCGATTGTCAGAGTCGGCCTCTACTTCAAACTTTCAAGACAGTCTGCGAAATGCCTCGATGAGGCATACTCAGTCGTATCATGAGAGTCAGTCAGGCGGCACCTCCGTCAGTCCGGCTTTCATAGCGACCAGGCGGTACCAAACTTACCATTTATGCCGCAACAACAGTATTTTTTGCAGCCACCTCCGTTTGGTGGACCTGCAACAAAAAACGTCCAACCTATGGACTGGCAGCTACGGTTGCTTAGACTTGGTGAACAGCCGTCGGCCTTTTCCAAGGAAATTACTGAAGCCGCTCAGCCGGCCAAAGTGAAAAATGTACTAGTAGGCGCCTATGACGGCACTACTAACCCAGAAGACCATCTGATGGCATTCACCAACCTGATGTGCCTTCAAGGGTTGGATGATCCCACTTGGTGCAAGTGTTTCCCAGCGACTCTCAAAGGAATCGCACAACAATGGTTCGGCAACCTGCCGACTGGTTGTGTAAATAGCTTCAAGACGCTTGCTTACTTATTCACCTCCAACTTCGCTATGAACATCCCTGCGAAGAAAACGACCCTTGATTTAGGAACAATTCAGCAGGGCGAGAAGGAGGGGCTTCGTTCTTACATCAGGCGGTTTAACCTGATGAGAATACAGATTCAAGGGTTACCGGATGAGGTAGCCTATACTGACTTTTTCAGAGGTCTCAAAGACGGGTCTACCTTCAAATTTGATTTGGTTCGAAAGAGGGTGGCGACTCTTCAAGAGGCCTTGATTGAAGCAGAAGCCTATATACAAGCGACTGATCTTTGTACGGTAAAACAGTCGGACGGGAATAGGTTCGAGAAAAGAGAAGGACGACAAAAACAGTCGTCAAACAAAGATGAGAAGAGAAAAGAAGTCTGGGCGGCTGATTCCTCTAAACAGCCGGCCCAGAAAAAGAAAAAAGAATTCAAACCATACTCACCAAAGTATGTGTTTAACAAAGATAACCAGTTTATCCTAAAAGAAATCAAGGGACGGATCTCAATTGAGAAGCCGGTCCCCATGAAGGGTTCTGCAAACAACCGGAACCAAGATAAATTATGTGCTTATCATGATGATGTTGGTCATCACACCAATGACTGCATCAGTCTCATGCGGTATCTGGACCGCCTGGCTGAGCAAGGTGATCTTGACACTTATGTCAAGAAATCTACGGGGAACACTTCCTCAAAAAAGCAGTCGGCCAAAAAGAATCAACAGGCCGACAGCTCCGATACAGATGATGCAGTCGTCTACACCATTGCAGGCGGCTTCTCAGGAGGCGGCCCCACTATTGGGGGCAACAAAGACAATATCAGGCGGTTAGATGTAAATTACGTTCACCAAGAACGGCCGTCCAAATATTCATTTCCTGATATTGTCATCACTGAAGAAGATCTAGGAGGGGTAAGAGGGCCGCATGACGACCCTATCGTTATTGAATGTAAAGTGGCCAACCAGAGAGTTGGCCGAATCCTCATAGATACCGGAAGCTCCTCAAATCTCATCAGTAGCAAATGTCTGTCGAAGCTAAAATATCAGACTGATTGCATACATCCGGCCTCCCACCCTTTAGTAGGGTTTGGAGAATGAGTCGTCCACCCACTGGGACAAGTGGATTTACCCGTCCGCCTGGGCGAAAAAGGGGAAGGACGACACATGGTAGTCCGGTTTCTGGTAGTAGAAGAACTCTCGGCCTACAACATGATTCTGGGTCGACCAACCCTGAATAATTCCAAGGCTGTTATAATCTCATCTCTTTTGTTGCTCAAGTTTGAGAGGGATAATGGAACAGTCGGCTCCCTAAGGGGAGATCAGAGGATGGCCCGAGAGTGCTATCTCTCGGATGTCAAGCCCAC